GTCATTTGACATTATGAATTGAATGAATATACATAAATATAATTGGTGCTTTGTAACCAGTGAAGTGATTTTCGGCCCAACTCCTCCTACATTTGATAGTATGCATCGAGATGCTTTCAAACAACAAATTTTGGGTTCAGCCGCTTATAAATAGCCTATGGATTTTTATGCAGAGCTTTTATTTAATGACAGAAAAACACCGGGAGAGCTTGATATTCTCCACTCAGAGGCGAACTCAATTAGAAAAATCAATTTAGTTTTTTATTTAAATTAATTTTCCAGAACTTTTGGAAGTTGCTGACACCGGCGGCATATGAACCCGCGTCTTTCGAAAGTCGGTACGCAATGCTAACCACAGCTTTTGGACGATACGACTAATGTTTTTATGGCAACGAAACCTTCGATCTTTTATGGAAAATTTCTTTTTCGAGTATCAGAAACAGACTTCTTAATGGAAACCCCGTTATAATATTATATAAGCAAGATCAGCTGAATAGTTTTGGAACTTTTTTTGGCACAAATTTACCGTAAGAAAGTCCCAGATCTTGAGAACATCAAGAAATAGACATATTCGGGTTTTCGGTTACTTTTTCACCGACAGTAGCGATATTTGAGGCGGAACGAACAAAGCGGCCTTACAGTATCCATAGCCAATACAGTCTCTAAAAATTTTTTTTATATGTTGAATTTGCTTGTTTAGTTGGACGGTTACGTACAGCCACAATCTTCGCTTAAAGGACAAAACGTGGACACGTTTGAGCAACATTTTTGTTGTAAATTTATTAGTCCTTGCTATCGAACTACATCATTTTTCAACTATGGCACATATACAAATTGAGAATTAATGAATTAATTACAACAAGGGCTTAATAGTCACAGAAAAAAATGCTTGTCCTCGGTAAGTTTCCAAAAATTTATAGGCATGTAAATTTCTATTTCCGACAATGTTTGCCATAATTTGCAATTCAAACCACATTCTCGACCCAGCCTACCACCGTGCGGCCTAGAACACTTGCATGTTGTTAAACTTCAAGTTCAGATATGATTTTATACTAACACCTACCACTACTATAACAAGCGACACAGAGAGAGAGAGAGAGAAGGCGGCAGAGAGCAGCAAAGAGCGGGAGAGAGAAATACGAAGAAGCAAGAAAAGCAACAAACAAGAAAAATTCACAAAGCTTACAAGTTTGCGAAGCGGAAATAGTACAAGGACAAGAGCACAAAGGTTGCACGATTTTTACTGTTACCTGCAACTGTTGTTGTTGGCAGCATACAAATGAAATGCGTAGCAAGTAAAAAAGAAAAAGCAGAAGAACAAAGATAAAAATTTGAAATGAGCAGGAAGGATGAGCGGCAGCACAGCATTGTGTTGTCATGCATTAGTGTGTGTATGTGTGTGTATATGTGTTTGTGCTTGTTAGGCACTTTGTGACTTTGTAACACTTAGTTCAAGGCATCGTGCTACAAACGGCCTTCTAACGGTAACTGCAAGTCAGTGTGCGCTAACAGCTATAACAGCAACAATAAAAACGCAAGAAGAACAAGAAAAATTATATTGCATAGGGATCAAGGGCAATGCGAGTGTTAAACCAACAATTGCCAAAGCTTACAAATCAAGCGGACCAACAGCAGCAGGCAGGCAGGCAGACAGGCGGGCAGAGGTAAGTGGCTGTGAAAGTAGGCGGCGATGTTGGCGTTGTTGACAATAAATCCTTTTTACGACCAACGAATGCACAAGAAGGTAGTAAATTACACTTCGCCATATTCTTATTTGTTCAGCTCTACAGCTCAGCACACCTAAGACCCTGCCTGAGTACATAGTCGCACACATTTACACATACAAATGTTAACTGCGCACTAATATTTTGACACACTTTTAGATGCCAATCACGTTTAGCGTCAAAGTGTCGTGTTGGGCATAACAAATTAGTAGTGTAGGTGAATCAAGAAGAAGAAAATTTATAAATTATTGAATAAAAAAAGAAACTAAAGAAATAAATATATAAGAAAGTAAATAAATAAAGATCTAAAAAATAAATTAAAAAAATAAAAAAACAAAGAAATAATATTATAATATAAGGTTGTCAAAAATCTTCCGCTTTTTTGCTTTTCCTTCAAAGCTTTATAAAAAGTGTTACAGTGATCGGATTTAGTTAAAATATGCGCCGTTTTGTTCGATGATCTGTTTCCATCTAGACGGCAACTTCATTATACCTTCCTCGTAGAAGCCCCCCTCCTTATTTGCGAAGAATTCGGACAGCCACTTTTCACAAGCCTCTTTTGAGTTCAACTTCACACCACCAAGGGCATTCGCCATGGATAGGAACAGGTGGTAATCACTTGGCGCTACGTCCGGGCTATATGGTGGATGCGATAAAACCTCCCAACCGAGCTCCCGTAGCTTCTGACGAGTCATCAACGAAGTGTGTGGTTTGGCGTTGTCCTGGTGGAACATAACACCCTTCCTGTTGGCCAATTCTGGACGCTCCTGGTCGATCGCCTGCTTCAAGCAGTCCAGTTGTTCGCAGTAGTTGGTAGAATTAAGCGTCTGGCCATATGGGAGCAGCTCATAGTGGATGATTCCCTTCCAATCCCACCAAACACACAGCAAAACCTTCCTGGCCGTCAATCCCGGCTTGGCCACTGTTTGGGGCGATTCACCGGCCTTCGACTACGACCGTTTTTGCTTGATATTGTCGTATGTGATCCATTTTACGTCACCAGCCATCATCCGCTTCAAGAATGGGTCGAGTTCGTTCCGTTTCAGCAGCATATCGCAGGCGTTGATTCGGTCCAGAAGGTTTTTTTGCGTCAAATTATGCGGCACTCAAACATTGAACTTTTTTTTGTATCTAGTGTTCTGCATATGGTTCAAAATGGTTTGGTGACTAACTCCCATCTCCTGGGCGATGTCACGAAATGTCATATGCTGGTCTAACTCGATGTATTCCATAATTTGATCGGTATTTCTCGTCACAGGTCGTCGAAACCATTCCTCCGCGGTTCGATAGAGCACCATCCCCCAAAAGACCATTAATCTCACGGAACGTTTCTCTTCGGCGTTAGCGAACTCCATGTTTACACGTAGATAACTGTTGAACGCAATATCCAAACTAATCATGCATAGCGTTGTTTTGTAGGTTATGTCAAGACCTTTCAAATTACGAGATACGAGCTCTGTAGCGCTCTGTACATAGCCGCGAAATTCAAAAGACAAAAAAGCGGAATTATGTGAGTATGTGTGTAGTATCAGGAATACCAGTTATCTTTCACGCTTTGCCACAACCGTTTAATAAAAAATTAATTATTTTAATACAACCCTTCAGAAGTTTTCTTATCTCCTATATTAATTTTGTGTGGTTTGATTTTGAAGACTTTCATTGATTGTACTTTTGGCCTAAGTGCATTACTGTTGAGTTTTTGATAGTTATTTGGAATGAATATTTTTACCGATTTAACTTCTAGTTTGCTGAATAAACCTGCAGCTGACTCAACTCAATAACACTCGACTAAACTTGATTTCTATGTGAACTCATTTCAACTCAATTTAACCGAACTGAACTTAAATTTAACTACACTTAAAACAATTGAGCTCACCCATTTTAACTCAACTCAAATAAGTTCTTCACAACTTAAAATACCTAAATTCATACTTAAATAAACTCAACTCAGTTTAGCTCAACACAACTCTACTCACTTCAGCTCAAACTACATTCCACTCAACTCAAAAATTTACCTTAAATTAACTTAATATATAGCACTTCAAGAATTACAAAGCGCAAATACATATACAAATATATATAACTCAATTATATCTATTGAACTTAAATTTTAATGAACTTTAAGCAACTCAAATTAATTCTTCAACACAACTCAGGATATAAATGAACTCAATACACCTCTACTTAATTTCACTCATTTCCATCAACAATATTCAACTTAAATCAACGATCAATCGTCTTAGTTCACCTCAACTCAACTCAACTCAGTCAATATAATTCAGTCTTACAAACAGAGAGAACAAAAGGAAAGACACCTTGAACACGCGGCAAGTCTGATGAGAAGAGAAAAACCGTAGTCAATGAACGGCCAGGTTGATAACAGACTTCAGAGTATGGATGTTGTCCGGTCACAGACACTTCCGGAAATATCCGTATAAAATAGTGAAAGCCTCTGATGTGTCACGCAACTATTACTATAAAAGATGCCGAGCATAATCTTGAAATGATCTCACTGGCAGGACGAAATAATCAGACTTGCAAACACAGTTGGTGAGCCAAAAGTGGAGAATTTTTTCTCTATTATGCTACAAGGCGAAGTGGATATGGTAAGCTTAAAGGAGTTTCACAGAAAAAGTACAACGGGCGAAAAAGCGGCTCTCGGACGAATGTAATTTCATTAGGGAAAAATGAAATGTCACCCTGAATTAAAGCAAAAGTGGTTATAGAGTGGGCGACGGTTCCTCAGGAGAGAGTTTTTGAGTGATCTGCAAGTGGCACATACCATTGATGAGACGACATAATAAATTCGATTAAATTCGGGATATTATATTCAGTTCCATTTTTGTACATATAGACTTTCAACGGATGGCCTTATTTATATTCGAAAAAAAAAATACTTTTTCTCTCCGTTTTACATATTCCAGATGTCTCAAACGAATTTCAATATTTAACAAAAGTTCAGTAGAGGATGCTTTATGGACTACTACGAGTTTGGCGTATAATCAGAAAATTTTGTATGAAAGCCTACCGATGGATTTATTTATGTCGTTTTTTATATAAGCTAAAATACAGAAAAAATACTCCAAAGTAAATTTTCTTCAGTAGGCAAATATTCGCTTAAGCTTAATTCTAGATTCTTAATTCTAGATGAATTTATTGGCCGATCCTGGAAAGGATATTTTGTTACATAAAAGATTACCACACCCCAATTTTATTGCTATTTTCATTAAATCGACCTGGAATTTTATGTTTTTTACTTAGGTTAGGCCCACTTACCTGTAGATTCGGCGGGCAGTGATCCAGCAGTTCTAACATGTGTTTTATATTTTGTGCATCTTGTATCACAAAATTTAATTCCATATCAAATTCGCCGCCAACGAGCTGTAATTAAAAAGATAAAAAAGCGAAAATTAAATAATTTTCAAAAATCTGAAAATGTTCATGATATAAAAAATCTCAAATAGTTTGTTTGGAAGATGTTCAAAAGTTGAAGTTCGAATGCCTTAAAGTTGCAAATTTTCTTACAAATTTAAATAGTCAAAATTTTTTTGCTGAAAAAATATGCCAACAACAAATTTATTGCCACGCACACAAACAAACGAACGTTCGCTTCCACAGATAAAACAGCAAATAAAATTCCATGTTAGGAGCGGAGTGTGAGTGCGACGCCGCTGTGAGAGAGAGGAAGCGTAGATAGCGGTGAAAAACGCTTAAAATACGGCAAAAAAGTGCCTGCGAAATGGGCGCCTTCTTGCTCATATTATTACATAATTTGAATGGGTCGTGCTAAGAACGAGCGTGATAACCCACGCAAGCACACGAATATACATATACCCACATACAAACACACACACACATATACACTCATACATATGGTGAAAAAGCTGGACGACTTAATGAAGTATAAATGAAAAACATGGCCAATCGCATACCGAACCCAACATATTTTGCTACAACATTTTTTTTTTTTTTTGTTTATATATGTAAGAGTATGCGCCTGTGTGTGCGGTGTATGTGTACGGATGTTGTTGATTATGGATTATATGTGCACTTATGAGTATTATGTAGAATTTTATGAATAACCACAAATTGAATTGGATTAAAATCTGCTTGCCGCTCACTGGATTTAATATAAGTACATGTGTATGTGTGTGCATATATTTCGATCTATTGTATACAGATATCGATTTTTTTATATAATCCAAATTTAATCCCGCTGTTTTGTTTTTGCCAATTTACCTACCGCCCATTGCTGGGAAATAATAAAAAAATGAGCAACTTGATAATAAATGGTACAAAAATAGATCGAATTTGAAATCTGCTGCTACAGTTCGTGAAATAGCTATGGCACACAAATATAGTTACCGAATCAATTCAAGTCAGTAGAAAAACAAATTAATCGTACTTGGAAAACAATTTGATCGTATTCGCTCATACATTTATTATAAGTAAAAATAAAAAAAATTAAATAAAATTTAAAAAAGTAAAGTAAAAAAAATTAACAAAATTAAATAGCATAATATGAATTAAATAAAATAAAACAAAAAAAATAAGATAAAATAAAATAAATTAAAATAAAATATAATAAAACAAAATAAAATAAATAAATTAAAATAAAATAAAATAAAGTAAAATAAAATAAAATAAAATAAAATAAAATAAAATAAAATAAAATAAAATAAAATAAAATAAAATAAAATAAAATAAAATAAAATAAAATATAATATAATATAATAAAATATAATATAATATAATATAATATAATATAATATAATAAAATAAAGTCAATAAATTAAATTTAATTAAATAAAATGAAATAACAATATAAAATAACATTAAATAAAATGAAATAACTATATAAAATAACATTAAATAAAATAAAATAAATTAACTAGATATGAAATAAAAAATATTATTTAGAAACGTAATAATAATGAATTGAATAAAATCAAATAAAATAAAACTGAGCTAAATTAAAGCAAAAAAAAAACTACAAAATAAAATAGAATATAGGAAAAAAATAAAATAAGATAATATAAACTAAAATAAAATAAAATTAAAAAATTAATTAAAATACAATAAAATAAAATAAAGAAAATGAAAATAAATAATATATAAAATAATATTATAAATAATATAAAAAAATTAAATATAAAAAAATTATGTAAAAAATATCCTCTGAAAGGAAGAGAAAAATGACGATACGTTTTAAGATTAATTTTTTTTTTAAAGTATCAAACATTTTTTTTTTAAATTTTTCTTTGAGCTTTCTTGAAAAAACGGGGTTTTAAATTTGCACTGAATTTTTCTTAAATAAACATTTATTGAATTTTTAAGCAACAAACCTCGTTAATATATGGCTTTTGCATGAAATAATTTACACCTGCGCTCCCGTATGAACTCCACACATATAAACGTTAAAACGCAGTAAATTAATATGCTTGAACAAATAATAATTGAATTCTTTTTATCATTTTGGAATTACAACGACCAAATAAATGGAATCTGAATTATTATGCGAAAATGTATATGTATATGTAATTATGACTGATTACAAGGGTATTTCAACAATATTTGAGATATTAAAGGATTTTAAATTAATATATTTGCATTTCAGTGTTAAGTACAGGTAATGAAAATAAGCACATATATTCATAAAAACATATAAATTCGCACACTTATGCATTTTATCATCGTGCCAGTGCGCTTACCAAGCATTTTAATTTAAGCTCTTAATACAACAGCGCTCATTAAAATTGTGTACATTCAACCGGTCATAAGGGTATTATTTAAATAAAATGCGAATGAATGCAATGCGTGTAATGCACACAATATATAATAATTATTAATAATAAAAACAACAACTAGGGAGAATGCAAAGAAAAAATTAAACCAGTTTTATGCAAGAATAATAACACGCAGTAAAAACTTAAAAGCAATTGCATATAGATATACGAGTACGTGGCGTATACGCAACCTTTAATACAGGCTCTATACGCAGCACCGCAAATAGCCAACACGTAACTTTTGACATCACGCAACGATATAAAGCAAAAACTTATTAAAAACAATTTTTTTATTTCAATTTTTTTTTCTTTATTTTCTTAGATCAAAGCGTATTTTTCACATTTTTAACACACAATTAACCCAAATTAATCCAATGCTTTGCTATCGAACTAAAAAATCCGCACACAAAAACATTCTTGCACAGCTGACCACCGATGGCCAACGAAACTGTTGCAAAAACTTTGTTTGCGTACATCAAAATGACATCACAATTTAGAGACAGTGAAAACAAACACAAAAAAAAACAGACAAAATACCACAAAAGGAACGGCAAATATAGGAAAATTTAGTGAAAACATATTGAAATGCGTGCGAAACGAAAATTAAAAAATAAATAAATAAACAACTAAAATATTACAAAGAGTCGAAATTTTATGCTTTGCTTAGATACTAATGTTTAATGGCAACACTGTCTGCAAAATGTGGGAGTGTCTTCACATTTATTTCTTTTTCAGTTTAGTCTTCGCCGCCACAGTCAACGCCTAATGCCAGTTCAGCCGGTTAGTTAGGCAACCTGACTGTCTGCTGGAAGAAGTTAGCTTCATGCCAATTCGCCATGCGAACATTCGCTGTCTGCGTCTCTATATTTTTTAGGTATCTTACGTTGGTTATTTTATTTCGCAACTTAACTCTTTACGTTTTCATACAAAAACTTCACTCTTTTTAAGTGGCTGTTTGTTACGTGCTTTTCCTCTGTGTGCCTCACACTTTATTTTGGCGGCCGTCAGACTGGCGTCGTCGGTGTTTTCAAGTGTGTATTCTTTCGTTGTGCATACGCTCAAAACTAGGAGTGCTTGTGCGTCGCCTAGTCGCGTCTGCTATGCTGTTTTTTTTTTGCTTCAACCGCTGTGGTGCGACGGTAGACATGTAAAATATTAAGTCTATTGTTGAAGCAAACTGTGGTAAAAATTGAGCATGAATAAGGCGGCAGGGTTGTAAATTATAATTATCAGGCAATAGAAATGAAAATTTAAGTAAATATAAAATTCAAAATTTATTGGCTGCATTGGACGTCGACATAGTCCACGCTACTGCGGCATATAGTAGGACGATTATAATGAGCGACGTGTGGAAAATGGTTTTGGTTCCTTTACTCAGTCAAAAGTAGAATCTGTTGGGAAGAATGAGCGTTCGATTTCAAGACTGTCGTTATTATTGGTGCTTATGTTGGTTCCTGATAGGTGAAATAATGAACGACTTCAAAGTTATGACTGTCAACAGTAACGAGGAAGCCAAGTCGCGAATGCGGTGACTTTTTGTTGACAGGAGATATCCCGACTTGCCTTTGCCCATTGTCAGATCAATATTCTTCGCTTCCTTATCCAATTTGGAATAAGTAGAACTAATCGCGCCGCTGGTAAGACGAATGATTTCAATATAACCGGCGTGCGCGTGCAACTGTATGCTTTTATAGATTATTGTACCCTGTCAATTCTCCCGCATCGAATAGAAGGAATCGCATGATAAAGACTCACCCTGCCTGAAACCTTGTTTGTTGCCAAAGGGCTCGAAGAGGTCTTTCTCAATTCCTATTGCCCTTCTGGTGTTCTCGTGGTCATCTACGTTTGGCACGAGTACCAAATTAAGACACAGCGGTTTAGAGGCATGTCCTTTTCGTGCTGTCGAGGGCAGCTTTAAAATCGATAAAAAGAAGATGTGTATCGATATTTTTCTCACGAAACTTTTCCACGATTTGTCGAATGGTGAATTTCGGGTAAATTTACAAGATCTAAGGGCTTGCTAACGGTGATACTATACCTTCAATAGAACTTTACATACGATACTTAGGGCCTCCGCGCTTTGTTGATCTCTCACCTTCACTGACATTATCAGGCTGGGGATTTGTTTCCTCCATAAGCGTACGGCTGTTTGTTTTGCATGCAGCTTTCCAACGTCGAACCTTTCTGGAAATAGTTGACGAACGTTCCTTGCTGCCACAAGATAGTGACACGCATCGATTTTGGGTCCTTGGGTTGTACATACGCGAAGTACCGATCTGAAGGAGTAGCTCGATGTATTTTCTTGTGCTGGATTCCTATACTACGAACACAATTTAGGCCCGACCTTTCGTTGTGGAGTCTGAATTTTCCAGATACCCTCATAAAAGATATTCCTGGTAATGGAACAAAAAACATTCAGTAATTCTTCCCACTTTCTCTACACTCTAATGCAGATTAACCTATTCGCATCATTTCCATGTGATCAACTATAAGCTGGCATGCACTTTCATACACATATATGTATTTATATGGGATGAACGGGTAAATATAGAATATATGCTTTCCATTTACTTCCGCCTATTTTGATTTATTTCA